AATATTTACGGTTGTTATGTTTTGCTGATGTATAATTTCCTTAAGAAGCATGAACCGTCCGTCTCTGTCCCTTCTGATTAACTTTGGCTTGAAGTCCACTTTATCTGATATGAGGATGGAGACCCCTGCTTGTTTATGCCATTCATGTGATATTTTTTCCCCCATTCTTTTACCTTCAGTCTGTGGATGTCTTTGTCTATGAGGTGAGTCTCTCAGAGACAGCATATTATTAGGTCTGTTTTTTGATTGATGAGTTTATATCATAAACATCAAAGGTTATTATTGATATGATCTGTATTCCCAGTCATTTTGGTTTATTTCTAGTTTTTAATTTGAATCAGTTTCTTCTTTGCTTAACTATTCCTTTAGTGTAGTCCTTTCTCTTGCTGGTTTTCATTTTTGTTTAATTTCATCTTCACGGCATATTTTGTTGAGAATGTTCTGTAGTTCAGGCTTTTTATTTGCAATTTTTTTTGGAGGGTGGGGTAACCAGGGATTGAACTCAGGGGCATTCAACCACTGAGCCACACCCCCAGCCCTATTTTGTATTTTATTTAGAGACAGGGTCTCACTGAGTTGCTTAGCACCTTGCTTTTGCTAAGGCTGGCTTTGAACTCACAATCCTCCTGCCTCAGCCTCCCGAGCCACTGGGATTAGAAACATGTGCCCCTGCAGCCAGTTGTGAATACTTTTAACTTTTGTTGATCATGGAAGGTTTTATTTCATCTTTAAATCTCAACCTTAATTTTGCTGGATCTAGGATTCTTGGTTGGCATCCATTTTCTTTCAGAGCTTGATATGTTATTCCGGGACCTCCTAGCTTTGAAGGTCTGGATTGAGAAATCAGCTGAGGTACCCTTTTCCCACTCCTATAGGTAATCTGATATTTTTCTCTCACAGCCTTTAAAATTCTATCCTTATTCTGTATGTTTGGCATTTTTATTATAATGTGCCTTTTTGTGGGCTAATTGCAATTTTGTACACTTGGGGTCATGTAAGCCTCTTGTATTTGATTTTACATTTCATGCTTTAGGTTTGGGAAAATTTCTGATATTATTTCATTGAAAAGACTGTGTATTCCTTTGGTTTATATCTCTGTGCCTTCATCTATCCTGATAAATTTTAAATTTGGTCTTTTCATGTTATCCCATGATTCTTAGAAGTTCTGTTCATGGTTTCTTGACATCTCTCCATGTCAAACTCTATTTTCAAGATTATATATTTTGTCTTCATTGCCAATTGGTCTGGTCTGTTGGTGATGTTTTCTATTGAATTTTTAATTTGGTTTATGATTTCCTTAATTTCAAGAATCTTTGCTTTTTTTTTTCTTTTCAGAATCTCTCTTTATTGAAGTAATCTTTCACTTCCTATATTTTCTGATTTCATTCCTTATACAGTCTTTTACTTCACAGATCAGTTTAACAACATACATTCTAAACTCCTTCTCTGACATTTCTTCCACTGTGGTGTCGATGGATTTTGTTGTGGGAGTATCTTGGTTTGTTTTTCAGTTTTTTTTCTTAGTTGTTGATAGATCTTTATTTATTTATACGTGGTGCTGAGAATTGAACCCAATGCCTCACACATGCCAAGCAAGTGCGCTACCACTGAGCCCCAGCCCCAGTATCTTGGTTTGTTTTGGGCGATTTGTTCCCTTGCTTTTTCATGTTGTTTGTGTCTACCCATTTACCAGTATGGATCTGAGGCAGTAGAGTTTCTACGCTGTGGATTTATAGTGTCCCTGAAGTTTTCTGGTACCTCACTGTTTAGGGGGAGACAAGTAACAACGACCAATGCAAACAATATACAGCATTAGACCAAAGAGTTTTTTTTATAAATTTTATTAGTTGATGATGTATCTTTATTTATTTATATGCGGTGCTGAGAATCGAACCCAATGCCTCACACATGCCAGGCAAGTGCTCTACCACTGAGCCACAACCCCAGCACCCAGACCAAAGAGTTTCTACTATAATATCTACAATGTTAATTATCACAATAAACAGAAATGTTATGATCAGTTATTACCTACAATAAAAACAGCCAGTTTACAAAAGGGTTTATAGTTTCAAATGGTGGACAAGGAGAGAATAGAAGTGATATAAGATGTGATGAGGGCTGGGGATGTGGCTCAAGTGTAATGTGTTCGCCTGGCATGCGCAGCGCGCTGGGTTCGATCCTCAGCACCACATAAAAAATAAAGATGTTGTGTCCACCGAAAACTAAAAAGTAAATAAATAAATATTAAAAAATTCTCTCTCTCTCTTTAAAAAGAAAAGATGTGATGATTATAAGGGAAGAGAGAAGTAAAAATTTAGAGAAAGAGTGAAGGAGAGACCAGTTAAAGTTGGTGTTAGAAGAAAAGAGAGAATCAAGGGAAACAGGTAGGAGGAAAAAATATACAAACTAAAAATAAAAAAAAAATTAAATTAATACAAAACTAGAATATATTAATTGAACATCTGAATTCACAAAAAACTAATGCTAGAAAAGAGAAAAATACATGAAAATGTATAAATATCCATGTATCATTAAGATAATAATTAAACAAAGGAAAAGAATTTTTAAAAAAGGAAAAGAAAAAAATCTTGATGAAAAGTTAAAAGAATTTTTTTCTTTTGGAGTTCAAAATATTCTCAGCTTCTCTTCTCAGCAGTTTTAGATAGGGTCATCTGGAGTGTGATGCTGAAAACTCTGGATTGCTGGAGTGAGAGAGGTAATCCTGTAGGCGGAATTCCTGGAAGGGGGATTTAGTCTTAGGTGGGCTGTAGGCTCTTTTCTAAATGTCAATTAGTCTGGAGATTTTAAATCAGTGCACCTCAGTGCGCAGTACTTGCTGGCCCACGTTGGAGTACTGCACTCCCGGGATCTCACATGGGTTCCGCCAATTCTTAGTCTCTACATCACCTTCAGACCCCATGTTTCCTGGTCCTGGGTTCAGTCTCCAAACAATCTCTCCTGCCCCAGCCCTTCTGAGTTCCTGGCCAGATGCGTCTCTCCCAGCCTGTCTGGCAAGCAGCTAGATAGGAGAGGGAGCAGTAGAACTGGGTGGGTTTCCACCACCAGTTGTTCCCTGTGTAAACGTCTCTCCACTTTTGATTTTCTTGGTCACGTAAGCACACTCTGTGTCGTGTGGTGTGTGTTTACCAGGCCTCTATTTCAGGCCAAACTTGGGTTTGCCAACAATCAGCTCTCTCAAATGCCAGCCTCTGCATGTGGCTGCAAAATGGTTCCTTCCCTGTCCTCTGCTCACTGTCTGGAGAGATGGCAGTTTCTTTCCCCGCAAACAGATATCATGCAGCACATCTTTCAGGTTTGTTGGGCGATGTCCTTGATCTCTTGTGTCCATGTCCAGACACACCTCAGGCCTCCCAAAATGCGGGTTCCTTTAATTCCCTTATCTCTCCGCTGTGCTCACAGAGGGTTCCGCTCTGAGTGGTTCTGCTTCTGGCCTGGCATGGCAGTGGCTGTGCTGTTAGGGATTTTTGCCTTATTTTATTATATCCAACCTCCTGTGACCCCTGTCTGCCTTGAACGTCCAGTTTTAAATTCCAGTAGAGCCCCTCCCCTTTTCATTTGCCCACCTTGTGGAGAAACTGTCTGTCTGCTCTCTTGGTTTCACACTACAGAGCAGCAGGGAACATGACCTCCTCTATCCTGCCATCTTGCTGTTCAGGGTTTACATCTTAATTTAAATTATTGCACCCGCTCTCTGGAAACTTTTAAAAAGGTTCCCATTCACTGAACATCTATTATACATCAGGTAATGTGTAACAAAGGTACTTTATTTGCTTCACACCCTTCATTCCTTTAAACAAATCTGTTGTACACAGATCTGTCTCCTTTTTCAGACCCATCAACTGAGCATCTGAGAGACACATGTACCTTGAGTTGGAAGAGCCAAGATTCAGGCCAGGTCTTTCTACTCTAAAGACCAACCTTGCCTTTCTCATAGTGGCACAATATTATGTTCTACGTTTTATGTTCCATAAAATTAAAGCATTCTTGGAAATATTCCTAGTTTTTGTGGAAATACTTTCAATGAAGATCATCCTGGAAGGGAAGAAGGGGGGGAAAAATGGGAAGACAAAATGCTGAGTAAACAAAGCAAATGAAGCCATAGATCCTAGTAAAGTGTGCAAAAACATGAAACCATGCATGTGAATTTTGGCTGTTCACAAATTCCCTGGGAGCCTCACTAAAACGTCTTCAGACCCCAGATAAAGGACCCTTACTTTCTAGGGGACGCTCTTTGACCAGAGCTGTGTTGTATCAACTGGTGCAGTAAGGGTTTCACCCACTGCGTGATTTCAGGAATCTTTTGGTTTGCCTCAGTATATCCACTAGCATTTGTACTGTAAGGAGCTATTTACTCCACAATTACATACAAGGGGAATGCTGAATTAATGCTTGTGTGAGGCCGGTAAAACTGGTTTAGTTTACCTCTGTGGGGGACTAGCAGTCGGGGCAAGGACCTGCGAGGACCTGCGAGGACAGCGAGTTTCTGGGCATCGGGAACAGCCTCCTGCGGACTCCAGGTCGGCAGAACCGGGAGGGTGCAGACCCCGCAAGGCCGGCTTCCAGAGCCCGTCAGAAGTCTGCAGGGAGGACTGAGGAAGTGAGGGGCAGCTAAGAGGGGATCCTCTACGAGCAGGGAGAGTACAGCACTAACAGTCGCAAAATGCCTTCCAGAGAACCCACTGAAACACTCACCGGAAACCGTAGGCTGCACACGTGCCTAGAGCGCCGGCCGCTGGTGGGAGGAGTCACTGAAAGCAGGCCGGCTTGCGCCCGCCTCTCGCGCAGGCGCAATAGAAGGCATTGGCTCTCCAGCGCGCTGCGTAGGTGCAGGGGAGGCCTCGTGCGCCCCTTGGGGCGTGCAACTGGGCGGAGCTAACCCCCCACTGGCGCGCTGACGCAACGGGTCGCGGCGGAAGGGTGTGGACGCGCCGGCGCGGCAGTGGCTCGGCGGCTAGGGAGGCGGGGCCGCGCATGCGTCTTGAGAGGCGGTAGCGGCGGCGGTGGCGGCAGAGGCGGCGGTAGCGGCGGCAGCTGTGAAGGGGTTCCGGGAAGATGGTGCTGATTAAGGAATTGTGAGTGGATCGGTGGGCGCGAAGGAAGGTTTGGGACGACGACTGTGGGAGATTCATTGACTGAGAAATTGCGAAATATTCCTAAGACGTAGTGAGCTCCCGGCCGGCCGCTCCCCGGCCGCTCTCCCGCTCCCCGGCGTGCGCCCCCGGCCCACCCTTGGGCCTTCAGCGGCGCGCCCCCCAGGCCCTCCGGGCGTTGCCGCGGTAACACGGCCGCCTTTTCCTCCCCGGGCGCAGGCGGCGGCGTGCGGGCCCCGGCGCGTGGCTCGGGAAGGCGCGGCGGGGAGTTTCCGCTGGGACCCGCCTCTTCCCCGGCCCTCCCCACCCCCGGTCTGTGTCTGGGCCGGTTCCCAGGCCCGCCGGTGGGACGGAGCCGCAGCTTCCGGGGGTGGGGGAAGACGCGGTGGTCTGACAGTGATTTGTCGCCCGGGGTGGAGTCTGTTTGTTACCCGCGGGAGATGCGATTGCCAGGTGAAGGCATCCCTACCTTCGGGAGCTTGGCGCTTGAAGTTCTGCTGCAGCCCTTAGACCCGATAAGCCGTGCTCCGCCGGGCAGCTAGGTGCCTTGGCCCGAGAGCTTCCTCCCTGCTCGGGAATCTCACTCCCCAGGTCTTTAGATGGGTTGGCTCTAGGGGACCCACCTGCTTCACGGGTTAAGGTGGGGCGTTAGACCCATGCACTGTCAAATGGAGGGGTTGTCGGGTGCAGCAGGGCCAAGGGATTTTGTTGAAAACTTAAGTTTTTTTCCCAACTGTCGGGGTCTGTTAACATCGCGAAAATCTGGTTGTCAGTATTCAGCTGTCACACCTGGTTCCTGACTTCAGCCTCCCTTTCTGGGACAGCTTGGGATTTTTTAGTTTGGCCCATTCTTTGTTTTCTTCCCAAATTCACGTTTTCATTCCAAATTCTTTAAAAAATTTTTTTGACGTAATTTAACTGTCTCCAGACACCTTACTTGTAGCGTTAATTGTCCAATCTTTAAAAAGTCACTCATGTCACTTCCCTGCTTAAAACCGCCCAAAGACACACTGTCTCTTCAGAATAAAAGTCAAAAAGTCTGTGCAACAGCCTGCAAGGCCTTATCTGATTTTTTTTCCTTGTTGTAGTCCCATTGATTACTTTTCCTGTCTGTGCCCAGTCCAGCCTCAAAAGATTCCATCACTGATCTAACTATGAGCTCCGTTGAAGACCTGTTGGTTTTTGTTCTGCCTGAAATATGCTTCTGCTTTTTATGTGGTGCTGAGGATCGGACCCAGTGCCTCACACTTACTAGGCAGGTGCTCTACCACTGAGCCACAGCCACAGCGCTAGGTGTATTCTTAATGCATGTAAGGTCCACCGATTTGCCCATTTTCCCCACTTTTCTACCCCCTGATTCTTGAACCATCCCTAGCACATAGTGGATGCTCAACAAACACTTGTTTCATGAATTGATGAAAAACTACAACTTTTGTCAGTGACAGGATTCTGTGAAAAGATGTTTTTGTCTTTTGTTGTAGAGGGACGTTTTCTAATTAAAGCTCATTTATAATACTGAACTTTGGGTTTATGTAAAACTTCCAAGTTTCTTATAACAATGTATCATGCATTTGTTATTTTAATATATGATGTAAGTAGTAGCAGATATTAAGACAAATTGAGGATATAATTCAGGAAGAAATTGTCTCGGTTCAAGCCCCATAGATAGTTGTAGAACTGCTTTTAGGTCAGATATCTAGTCATTTTTTTTCTTTTGTTGGAATTACCTTCTCCCTCCAAAATGTGAATTTAAGTTTTCAGTTGATCCTTTGACAATTATGTAAGTAGTACATAGCTCATGGAAAGTAGTTCCTGCTGCGAATTTGCACACTAGTCTTTTTTGCAAATGTTTCCTTTCCCTATGAAAATTTAAATGCACTGAAATAACGAAAGTTGAAGTGTGCCCCGAGTCTGATTATTTTTCGTAAGGTGTACATTGCCCTTCTGGATGTTTACTTCTCTTATTTCTCTTGTGTGTCTTTCCCAGGGGTTTTTTTTTTTTTTTTTTTTTTTTTTTTTATACTTTTTTTTTTTTAAGGTTTTTTTTTTTTTTTTTTTAAACACATTCCCAGTGTCTAGTATGGAATATGGCCTAGCATAGTCTAAGTACTCATATGGTTGAATGAAAAAATGATTCTTCCTACTCTCCAGTCATCTTTCTGAAATTGTTTTTGGTCAGGAGAGTGAATTAGTCATTCCTATATAAAGACATTGGTAAACTAAAATACTTTGGCAAATATTTGTTGTCCTAGAAAACTCTATTTTTGATAAAAATTTAAAAGTCAGAAATTACTTTGAGCGTGGGTGAGTTCCCTTCCATTTATTACTAACGCAGTAGATGAAGTTGCCATTAGCGTAATGTAAAGAATTTCACAAGGATTTTCAGAGATGTTTGTAAATTTTCAAATTATTCTGAAAATTGAATTTTACTTTTAGAATAATAATGGAAAATCAAAACCTGTCAGTTCCTTTTCCCATTTACTTTTTACTAAGCAAATCTTGAAGAAGTTTCTTGACTCATCACTCTGAATGTCTTAATCACTTTCGTTTTGTGAAAGAAATTTCTTTGAAAGTGCTACTAAACAAAATGGGGATCTTCACGCTAGTGCATATTTGTTGAAATCACTCAACTATGATTTCTTTTTGGTTTTGTGAGACCACAGGGAATATTTTTCTTTCCTCTCTGTCCCTTTGTCTCTACAGTCCCCTTGGTTCAGGTCTTTATTAGTAACACTTGAAGACCCTCCCAGAAGACTTGTATTCCTCATTCTCCTGACCCTCAGTGCTTTTAACCACCTCTCCATGACCTCCTGGGTCTTCTGTAGTTACATCATTTACCTCTTGGAACAACCTTCCAGGACTCCTTTTTGCCTGTAATTCATTTAATTCTTACCATAGTGTTCCAAGCCCTGAAAATGTCCCACCTCTGTCTTTCTAACTTTTCCTCCCCCAAGTTATGCCCTGTTTACTGAGACAGTGAGCAGTGAGTGTGTACCCTGAGGGGACAGCTAAGATGATTAGGGATTTTTAGCTATGGAGGGACTTAGAGCAAGTTTATTCTTGATGAGAATTGAAACCAGTGACCATTGTAACTTTGAGATTGTCATCGTTTTTAAGTCACCATTATCAGTAAGAAAGAGTGACAAGTGACCCTTAGTCAAGGGGAGCAAATAACAGGCGACGTGTCCAGTTCATGTTGGAGATTAAGGTGATGTGACCATTCAGGGCAAATGTTTGAGGGGACTGTGGAGAGGAGATGGAGGTGCTGCTGGATGAAAACGAGATGTAGTATTCTAGGGTACAGTAATACCCTCTTCACATTGTGCAAAATAAAGCCAACTGAGAATGTCTAGGTTAAAAAAATCGCCACTAATGTAAACAAGAAACTGACTTACTTGAGGAGAAGAGCAAAAACACTGCAGTTGGGGAGAAACTGGAATGAGTAAAACCATTGGGAATTTTCTGTAAATGACAATTGAGGTGACTGTGAGGTTGTTTTTTTTTTTGTTGTTGTTGTTGTTTTTCTGCCCCCCCCCCCCGCTTTTTTTTTTTTTACTTTAAATAAAAGACTAAGGAGAACCAAGTAAGGGGAAAAGGAAGTTGCTGTCTTGGAGCTCAGTGTTATGAGACAATCTCCAAAGAGGACTTTGGCTTTCAGATTTTATGGTAGAAATGGTTAAGGATGGAAATAAGGCATCTCTGTAAAAACTTAGAAAAAATGCAATATTCTGACATATAATAACACCATAATATTTTTAAAAAATAATTCTTTAATACTGTATTATAGGTAAAATGGAGTTATAAGGATATCATTTTAGTATGTCCAATAGAAAATTCTTGGACAGGATTAAACATCTATCAACCTTATTGAGTCTACCCTGGAAAAAATTATTGTAATTATAAAGTTTAAGATAGTTTCCTTAATAAAAGAGTTTTTTTTCTTTTTCTTTCTTTTTTTTTTTTTTGGTGTGTGTGTGTTAATTTGAAAGGATTCCTTACTTATTTTTACCTGATGACACTTGAACAATTGGGTACTAAAGAAACAGTTTCTGGAAACATTTTTTATAAAATTCAAAATACATATTCTTTGAGAAGTGTCGTAAAAACAAAATGCACAGCATATAGATGGTCGATGAAACCATCTAAAAATTTCATGAGGGCAGATAATACATTCTGTACCCTGCAATTTTCAATGATGAGTTTTTTTTTTCTTGTTTAATTTTACTTGTAAGAATTGCTGCAACTGCATCTTTGGGGTCCTGGAACATTGAGGACACTTAGTACAAATGATCATTGGGATTCAGGGGAGGGAGCTTTTTTTCTGTAGTTTAGAAACCTTTATTTAGGGTTGTGGGAATTGCAAAAACTCTCTTAGATAAATGACATAATTTTATTTTCAGATTTAAGAGTCCTATCTATTGTATCATTGGATTTAAAGTAAAAGATTTTTTTAAATCTTAGAGATCTGTGTTTAAAGCCATTAAAGCGTAATACATATTTTTTTCTTTTGTTATTTTAGCCGTGTGGTTTTGCCATGTTCTGTTCAGGAGGTAAGTCTTTCTTCTGAAAATTATTGGTATAATTTACTTTGATGTGTTTATCTAAACTCATTTCTTGGTAGTGTTCTTTTTTTTTTAATTCCAGTTTTGTAATAAAATATGAGTTGTGGTATATTATATATAATCAGTTGCAAACAAATTTCTGTTCTACTGCCTTGTTTTTGCAGAGTGTGAAGAATAAAATCCCAGCTTCTCAGGAGGCTGAGGTAGGAGGATGGCAAGTTCAAGTCCATCCTCAGCATTTTGGAGAGGCCCTAAGCAACTAAGCTAGATCTTGTCTCAAAATATTTAGGAAAGGGTTGGGGATGTAGCATCATGGTAAAGTGCCTTCAGTTCAGTCCCCCAAAAGAATAGAGTCTAACCAGTGCAGGGATTCTTTCTACACCATCCCAGGGAAATGAGGTTCCAGCCTCAACTGAAGAGCTTTTCAGGTTAAGTAGCTGGCTCCTATAAAAGCAACTGCTTTACTGTTGGGCATTTTAAAACATTTGTCTTTTCTTTAAGCCAAAATCTGCTTTCCCTTAATGTCTGACTGTTGTTCACACTTCACCCCACTTGGGATTGGATATAGAGTCTGCTCTGTTCTGCTTGTAGTAACCCTTCAGATTTCCTGATGGTGGCTCTCCTGCCAACCCCGCTACCTGCCAAGACTTTTTGTTCCAGTTTCAAAGGTCATAAGGTTAAACATCCCAGCACATTTATTTGGCCTAATATAACGAGACCTCTAGGCTTCCTCCCCAACAGGTCACATTGCTGTGTCATAGTTGTTTCCTTGAACTGAAAACAGTGTTCCAGACACAGTCTGACCAACATCTGACTGGGACAGCTTATCATCTTTCTTGATTTGTGTGTGCCATAGAAATAGATCACCTATAGAGGAACTGTGTCCTGCAGTTGCAGCCACCTGTAGTAGAGCCAGAAATGATGAAAAAAGAAAAAGCTGTCTGTTAAGTGAAGATATGAGTAGCAGGCCTCATAAAACTCCCCGGGGCCTTCTGTTACTTGCAAACAGTTCCTGCTTACTTGTCTGGTTTTCCTAGAGCTGTCAGAAGATTAGAAGCAGTGAATTGGAAGTGGGACAAAATAAACTGATAACCTAAGAGGTGACAGCTGACAGAAGATGGGGGGAAACGCAGGAACTGAAAAAGAGTAGCCAGTAGCCTTCTGGTCCTGAGTGATGTAGACATGAGCACAGCTTTGTGGGTCCTAGTAGTGCTTGACGTCTCACTGTGTTACAACACAGTCGAGACAAGTCAGGACCCCTGTTTATTTGCACAGTTGATTGTTTTGAACTTAAATGTGCAACTTGACATTTGTTTTTATTGGCTTTTTTTGTTGTTGTTTCAGCTGGTTGAATCAGTTTGTTGAAATCTTTCTGAGTCTTGGTATTGTCACCCACACTACTCATAGCCTTTTGTTATGTTCAGATTTAATAAGCATGTCTCTTGTCTCTACTGAAATAATAATAATAATTGTTGTTATCATTATTTGGTACCGGGGGTTGAACCCAGGGCCACTCAACTACTGAGCCATATCCACAGTCCTATTTTGTATTTTCTTTAGAGACAGGATCTCACAAGTTGCTAATCACCTTGCCATTGCTCAGGCTGACTTTGAACTCACGATCCTCCTGCCTCAGTCTCCTGAGCAACTGGGATTACAGGTGTGCTCCACCATGCCCAGTTGAAATCATTCTTAAAATAAGAACAAGAGGAAGGCCTAGTAGCATGCCACAATTTATCAGTACATCAATCACTTTTTTTGGATATGGTTATTTAGTTGTCTCTATGTGAATTTTTTTACTCTGTGTTGATCAAGACCAAATTTACCTTTTGGTTGAATCATTTTTGTCCTGTTTATGTATATGACAGTGTCGAAAAGTACATTCTGAAGGACTTAAGGATTGTGGTGTGACTAGACTAACCCTAGTGTTGTAACAGCCCCTTTGCAGTCTAAAGTCCCTAGACACTTATTTTTGGACCATATAAGAAATTTGTTTGGTTCCAGCTTCCTAAACCCTTCCAAATTGAGTAAGATTGTGTGTGTGTGTTTTAAATTAATTTGCAAGATAGCATCCTATCCCCACAAGCTTTCTTTTTTCTTTTTTAAATAGTTGTAGTTGGACACAATACCTTTATTTTATTTATTTCTTTTATGTGGTGCTGAGGATCAAACCCAGGGCCTCGCATGTGCTAGGCAAGCGCTCTGCTGCTGAGCCACAATCCCAGCCCGTATCCCCACAAGCTTTTTAGATACTAATATTTTCAGTTTACAGTGACTCTTATTTCCTTAAATCAAATTTTAATTTTGGATTATGAGTTCTTGGAGGTAGATTTTTGTGCCTTTACTTTGATAATATAAAGAAAAAATGCTTCTTTAAGCTGTTTTCATTGGAAGGAAAAAGTTTTATCAGATTTGAAAAGAGATTGGAGCTGGTTTGGTGCTGTGGCTTCATCACTAGAACAAGTTAAACCATGAGAACTTTGCTTTTTGTTGCTTATGGGAATTGATAGTGACAGAGGACAGTGCTGTTTCCTCACAAATGTAGGTGCAGGTCACTGAGAATTGAGGTTCACTAATGAAAAACTTGTCAGCAAGTTACTGCCTTTTATGGTAATACTCGTATATTTATGATATTTTTAAAGCAGTTCCTGTTTACTCAAAGACTTTGTTTTAAAGTTCCGATTCCGGGTATCCAGTACTGTTTAGTTGAGCAAGGGCCAAATTGGGATGGCATACGTAAGTCATGAGGAAAAAAAAAAAAAAACAGTTCTAAAATTTGGACCCCCATTGTACTTTGACTCTTCACGTGTTTGTTATTAAACTTTGTACCCTCCTTTTTATTGAGAACAGTATTCTGGTTGCTCAGCTTTAATTGACACAGTGACAATTATGTTCCTGCCATACTTTCCTCAGAATTTTATGAAGTTAAATGTGATACAATAGAAGTAAAAATGCTTTGGAACATACAAAAAAAAATTTTTTTTCAAAAGTTGAACAGAGTGTCAAGAAATTTTCTGCATAAATGGATAGTATGTATTAAAGCCACAAAATATTTATAACTGGCATTTTTTGAATAATGGAAATCCTATAAAATATATAAATACTGAAAGCTATATGATCACCTGCTGTTTGTCTTTTTTTAAACACTAATTTCCAGCTTGGGTTATATTTTCATGTAGATCATGTGCTGCATGGTTTGGATATACTTTTCTCTGTCTTCTCTATTAAGGTTTTACTATAGGACATTTCTGTGTTTTTTAGTGAAAATCTGTGCTCTTTTACATTTTAGTATCAGGTTGGGCAGCTGTACTCTGTTGCAGAAGCTAGTAAGAATGAGACTGGTGGTGGAGAAGGAATTGAAGTCTTAAAGAATGAACCTTATGAGAAGGATGGAGAAAAGGGACAGTATACACACAAAATATATCACCTGAAAAGGTAAGTGGAGTATTCATCTTCGCTGCTCAGTCATTAAGTCAGTAGGCCATAAGTACCCAGCTTATGTAAAAACTACCTATCTTACTAGAAGACATGCTGAGGTACATTTCTTATTTCAATGTGACAATGTGTTGCATTTTAATTTCTTGAGAGAATTTCTTCCTTATTGGTTATTTTTAAGTTGTAAAAACATTTTCGTTTGTTTATAACAGAAATTCAAACAACAAAGAGAACTTTAAGACAACTTGGTCCCTAGCCCTTGTATCAAATATCCATACCCACAGAGAAGAACACTAGCAGTGAATGGTTTAAGGGTTTATCTTTCTAGATCATTTTTTCTGTACTTAAAGATATTTTTAAAAATAAGCGTGTGTATGTGTATAATTTTTATCAGCTTTAGTTTTCTGCTAAAATGAGAAGATTCATACTGGACGGTTTGCTTTATTTTTTGTGTAATAACAGGTCATAAACAGACATTCTCCATGTTTTTATTTCATATCCCTGTGATTCTTTTTAAAGTCGAGTAACATTTTTTAGCATGGGCATGCCATAGTTTACGTAACCATTCTTTATGTTACAGAGTCTTTTAGGTATTACTTTTTGTCTCTTAAAAATGATGTTTCTGTTGAGTGAACCTCGTTGTACATAAGTCTTATGTCTTAGATTACTATTGTCTAAGAGAAATTTGTGAAAGTTGGATTTCTGGGAGGGCATACTCATTGTAAATTTTGACATTACTGCCAAATTGCCCTTCCAAGAGTTTGCTACTGTTCATTTTTCATATTATTCTTCTTAAATTTTTACCAATTTTATACACAGAAATTAGCCTCTTATTTAAGTTTGAATCTCTTCATAGTGAGAGTGAAAGTCTTCGTGGTAACTGACCAGTTGGATTTCTCGTATAACTTGACTGTCCATTGTTGTTTTGGTTTATCCAAGTTCTTTTGCACATTTTCCTAAATTTGGCAGTCTAATCTCTATCTTTGCTATAAATATTTTAAAATAGAAAGGCATGTCAGAGCCAAAGGCACCCAAGAGCCAAAGATGAGTAGTGGCTTTTAAAAGTCCCTTCTGTCAGTCATCTCCCAGGTTATTAAGAGCAGGAGGCAATTTCTGCTTTCTTCTTGCTTTTATTTTCTTCATAGTCCAGTAAATTATGCTCCTGTTTCGTAGAGTTCCATGCAGTGTGGATGAGCTGTGGTGATTAGTATTTTTCTTATTTTCTCAGTTTAACTCTACAGATTGGTTTATGATGATGCATGAATATAAAATAGGCTATCACTTTATAGATCTTAAATTTTATCATTATTTTCTGATAGAATACAGCATTTCTTTGTTTCTGTTGCAGGTTTGACCTGAGAAATAATGAAGTTGGTGACTGATCAATCAGTTATCCAGAGATTGACTTATGGTGTCTTTAAATTTGTTAGCAACAAATATCTAAAGCAGTGTCACTTGACAGAATATTTGGGTATTCCATATGGCACAGTTTAATGATGATTAATGATGATAGTGTTGCTTACACATACTTAGCTTTACTTTTCTAAAGTTTTAATTCACCCATTAATTGATTTCTATTGACACATTAGAGTTCCTTTTATAAATGTTGGACTCTTTCTGGTAATTGTAAAATGAACCAAAAAGTTTAATATATAAGCTCTCTATTAGTCTGTGATGTTCTTTTGTTTTGTTTTGTTGTGATAACAGGGATTGAACCCAGGTGTGCTTTACCACTGAGCCACGTCCCCAGCCCTTTTTTTTTACTTTGAGATAGAGTCTCACTAAGTTGCTTAGGGCCTCACTAAGTGGCTGGGACTGGCTTTGAACTTGCCATCCTCTTTTCTCAGCCTCGCAAGCACTGGGATAGCAGGCCATGCAGCAGTGCACCCGGCTGTGAGACCTTTTAAAATCAGTGTTCCATTTAAATAGGATAGGTTGAAACAGATTCCTGATATCCTCTGGTTGAAATATTAAGAGTTTGATTGTTGGAAATGCTTGCCACATTATCATATGGTCATTTGCTAAATAATGCACGTATATATAATACGTTTCACATTTTTAAAAAACTAATCTGAAAAAAGCCTAGAAAGATTTATTAAGATGAAAAGAAAGATTATCGGTTGATTGTAGGATGTGGATGATTTAAAAACATTCTTACTCTTTTGTGATTTTTTTTTTTTTATGAGAAAGAGAAAGCGTTAAATACCACTTCTGAAAATCTGATTTAGGTAGCACTACAGCCATAAATAATAACTCTGTCTAGTTGAAGAGGCCTATAAATATGGTCAGTAAGATATTCTTACTTAAGAGCTTATTTGGGCCTGAGGTTCAAAATTCCTTTTAGGCTTTTAGTGGATTAAATAAAGTCTTGGCTCACTGGAGGCCAGCCTGCCTGCACACTTGGGCTTTTGGAACAGCTTCTTCAATTCCAAGCACCCTTTAGTTTTACCCTTTCCCCACACTTGCTTCCTACCCATCATTATGGTCCTGTGAAAAAGGCTATCTCAAGAAGACAGACACCAAGGCACATGTTTACCCACAGTCACATTGCCAATAAGTGGCAAGATGGTGATTTTTTTTTGATTGAAGTGGCAGTCTTGGGTGCCTGACAACAAGACCAGAACCCAGGTCTCCCATGAAAAGGAACAGGGGAACAGATTGGGTGGTGAGACTGTGTGGCACAGGTGGCGCTGAGCATGGAGTTACAGAGAGGTGGGAGACAGGACAGGGAAGGGAGCATCCACTCAGGTAAGAATGAGAAAGGGCCAGCATCCTACCCATTGATAAGACAAGTCAGGGATTGGTGGTCAGCCTGAGAGGGAGGATGGCTGTTGGGGCCAGGACTATCAGATGCTGGTACTCAAATTCCTAAGTTCACATTGAAGGCACATTGGACACAGGACAACTATATTGTGGAAGGACAAATTTCTGTCTCATTTCAGAACACCTAATTTAGCAATAGGAGCTGAGGCCTTTGCTGTACTGCAAGAAAACCCTGACCCAGGGCAAGGCTGGTGGCACATCCCCTTAGTTTCCTCAGGGGCATGAGGTTAGCGTTCTAAAGGTGCACCCGCCCTCTCTGGAGACTTAATGGAGCTCTCTTCCTGGGAGAGTTAAGGTTTGTGTCTTCAGGATGTGTTTCTTTCCCAGTATTGATCCCATTAGTTGACCCACACTGTGTGCACTGTCCCATGTAACATCATCAGTGACATTTCACAGTTTGGCTGAGGCTATCGGCACCTCATTTTACACTTGAGGTGCTTGAAATTCTGAGATTCACTTTACTCATAATAACCAAAGTCTCCGAATTCCCTGGCTAGTGTGCTTTTCCACTAGCAGAACACTACTTGGTAAAGTGTGTATACTTGATCTCAACCAGATGATTGAGAAACACTCTTGGCACAAGGTATCTAACTCCAAAGTAGTGACTCGGCAAGGGACATTTTATAAGTCTGTTTTCCCAGAAACTTCATCACTGGCCCCATCTCACTGCTGTTTTGGTAGCAGACAGAGGACGGGAACCTCAGCTGTGATCTGGAGCCTGCCCTCTTAACCATTTTGCTTTGCTTTGCTTCTGATCCCCAGGGAGAGTCTGCATATTTTCCCATTCCTGAAGTGAGTGCCGTGGGGCTCCATGGAGCAATTCTTCTGGAATCTCAGGTTCCACCATATCTCATTTCTCATAAGCCTTTAAGTCTAAAGTCCTCCAAAGTAAACTTAGCAAGGTCGTCAGAATTATTCATGTGACCTTAGTTGTTACACCTCCATTCAGAACAAAAATCCTTATTTCTAAGCAGGTCAGTCTCTTTGCTGTCCTCTGGAAGTGACCTGTCAGTTGTTCAGTGCCACTTGCCTCCCCCAGTCTCTGTTTGTTCAGTCCTTCACACTTTTTTTTTTTTTAATGTTGGGCCTTTTTGTGTGCAGAGGCATTTGGCCTCTTGAATTCTATTCATGTGCTATATTAACCTTTCTTCCCTCAACTCATCACTTTTTGTTCCTTTCACTCATTTTGACACCTGGTCATATATTTCCATTATTTGTCTTGGACCTCATTTTCTACGACAGTGTTGAGTATCTTTCCTTATTTAGTACAGACTTTCTATAGTAGGTGATGGTGAAGGAAGGCAATTTAGTGGGCAAAGTTTTTTTTTTTTTTTTTTTTGACCAGGGATTGAGCCGGGATGCTTAACTGCTGAGCCACATCTCTAGTCCTTTTTTTATTTTTTATTTTGAGACAGGACTTCCTAAATTGCTTATGGCTTTGCTAAATTGTTGAGACTGGCCTTGAACTTGTGATCCTCCTGCTTCAGCCTCTGGAGTTTCTGGGATTACAGGCGTGCACCAACACACCTGGCTAGGCAAAGAAATTTGAAGCAGAACAACGAAATGTGTTGTAGCTTTTGAAATGGTTAAGAGAGAAAGCTCAGCTGTCCCAAGACTTCATTGTTCAAACACACTGATCTGCCCTTTTTGTTCTTTTTGTTAGTTTGTTTGTCACTTCTTGGGGAAAGCTTTGTTCTTTTTCAGTTCTTGTAAGCATTATGCCATCACCACCGTCAGTCAGTCCTGGATGATAGATTGTAAAGTTTTGTCAGCTCCAGAATGGCCCTGTTTTCCAGAAGTTAAAACAGCAAGGGTTTTGTTGAAAATCATTTTAAAATTTCATGTTATTCAAGGTAAGAGTTCATTTTTGTAAGCAAAAAGTAATCATTTTCCAGGAACTTAAGTTATGTTTAAAAAGGAGAAGTTTAAGTTGCCAGAAAATATAAATGTGGACGATGCTTCACATTCAGAGGACGTATTGTACAAGTAACGAGTCAATAAATAATCAATTCATTCCTGAGTCAAACGTCAGTCATTGTGGGCATGTCATTTTTTTTTCTTTGTATGTAGTTGGGTCTCTTCATGTGTCACACAGTGGGAAGTTTTCTGAATCGAGAGTAATTCTATTCCAGAAGAACATCAGAAATATTTTCTGAATTATGTTCTTTCCTCTTTAT